TCAATTATTGAATCCCAAAAAAAAAGTTATATTCAATTAATGGCGGCTGTCGTTGTCAATACAATGCTGGAAACATTCTTCACTTTTAGAGTTAGCTCTGGGTAAATGGCTTCGAGTTCTAGCCATTTGTGTTCCTTGAGTTAGCAAGGTAACAAGACAGCTTACACAGCACAACCCTTGCTGGTAGTACTGGTAGCATGAGAAACGGAGCTACATGAGCTGATTTTCATTATAGACCTTTATCGGATTTATGAGTTTCCGCTTAAACCCCGCCCATCGTGGGCGGAGTCTGCTCCTGCCACCCACCATAAGTGTTCCCATCCTGTCGCCTGTACTTCTACCAAGTTTGAACTTTCTTGGTCCAAGGGCCAGGAGTTATGAATTTTCGCCCAAACCACACCCCTTGTGGGCGGAGTCTGGTTCTGTCACCCACTGTAAGTTTTCCCACCATGGCGCCTATACACCAACCAAATTTAAACTGTCTAGGTTCTTGGGAACCGGAGTTATGAATTTTCGTACATAAATGTAAGAAGGGATGTGAGCTTCAAGGCACGCTCCGCCCCTTGGGCGAGCCTCCGCTGACGTCAATTATGCTGGAGACATCTTCGGCAATGCTTCTCCTAAATCAACTTTTTCCTGCTCTGTTGGCTTTCTCCAAACCGAGTAAATGTTTTCGTGAAGCACTGCATTTTTGGAGAACGTCCCGCCCATCGGGGGTGGATCTCCCCATATGGATCTAACTTACCAATGCGCACTCTAGCCACCTTTACACCCCAGTTTTGAAGCCGTCTTGTGACTGAATTTGAAATTGTGGTTCTCAGTACAGCTCATTTCGATGCACGCCACGCCCACTGAGGGCGGGGCTCCGCTAAAGTGATGTGTGCTTTATACCTCTCGGGACATAGCCCGCCCATCCCACCCGGTCTCTCCAGGCAGTTCTAAAGGAGCTAGAAATTTCGTGACAGACATACAGACAGACAGACGACGGACGAAGCGCTTTATAGTAATTAGGATCATATTGTTGTAATAAAATATATTCTGTATACTCACCCCGTATCCGAGTTCTGTGTTGCCTTGCAACTAATTTTAGTTAAAATCGGTACTTTTGATATCTCAAATGGGTTTGACCTTGAAGGGCTTTGATCTACGATTCAGTCGATATACGATGGCAGCATTGTCACTCAACATCACTCCTTTCACGCAGAACCATCACCATAGCTCTTTAAAATGGTAATTTTTCGGTTTTATTTTGCTTAATTTTGTAAATCTTGATGTCATGATAGGTAGGTAATTTTGTAGTTGGATTACTACCTGGTTATGACTGGCATTAAAGTGAGAATAGAATATATGCTCCATTTTATGTTTTATTGTTTTTGTTTCATAAGTGATTTTTATAGGGCTCTATCATTCTTTATCATGTAATTTTATCACTCTACCACTAATCATCTCACCTTGCTACTTTTATGAGTTGCCTACATATACAATTGGTTTAATAGGCGCTACAATTCTGTAGCACTTACCCTATTTCTGAAATCTGTTACCGGTTTTTAGTAGATGTTGTCAGCTGCTGTAACTTACCGCCGTGGTGGCATCCAATTTTAATCAGTGGAAAGGATTGCACCATAGGATTGCAGATTGTACAACTGAAGCCCATCAGATGCCGTACAATCCATCTTTCCGCAACTGTCCAAATGTTCTGCGATTGTTATCCTCAGGAAAGTTCAACTGAATGGTTCTGATGAACATCACGTGAAGAAACGTCGATCCATAGCCTCTATATCAGGATTTGCGAAAAGCGCCCGGGGTGCGAGGTAGGTGATACTGTCGACATATTTTTATTTGAAATCATTCTTAAATTTTGGCGATTTCAGAGTACTGTAAATAATGTATGAAAAAGGACAGGGTGACAAAAGTTAAATGACGGTCAGCTTACAAGTACATCGAGTACGAGCTAAGACTTTCTTGAAGGCTTCTTCAGGTATGAGTATTTAGTCTCAGATTAAAGTAATAATTTCCAAATTACAATAGTCTTAAACCGAAATAGCTTGGTGTTCAGCTAACTTCAACTACTGGCTATCAGCTCTGAAGTTTATTTTAGTGGCAAGTAGTTAGGGTCGCATTACGATACGTTGCTTAGTCCTATTGGGTCGATGCGGAAGCTCTGAGACAGTAGAATTTTGATGAACATTTGAATGCTTTCACAAAAACCATCACTGACCAAACTATATACAGCCACCATTGTCTATGTATGACGTTCACACAACGAGCGGGCAATGCGGCTGTTCCCTTCTGCCAGAAAGAAGAGGGCTGTGTTTTAGAGAATTCTGCCTTAGCGTTTTGGAGCTCACTGAAAAACGTGAACTTTTTATAGATCAGGAACTGCTTTGGTTCCTAAAAAGGGCCGACATTAAGGGAATAGGGGAGTGCGAACGGTGTTCCAGCCAAGTTACTATAACTTGCACATAAGGCTGCGACGTGAGGCCAAGCGCTATCCCACAGAAGATGAGCGGAAACACTTCTCAGCCGCTTTTCTTTGACTACATGAACGATTTCCTTGATCTGACTGCTACAGATGGTAGCCGACTCTGTTCTTAAGGAAGCAACTTGTTGTTAAGATTTCGTCGAGTTCTAAAAGTAGCAAGCAAAAAATACCTTGGATACTAATGTGACTCAGACTGCGCAAGCGGATCCTGTTCTTTGGAAGACGGCCACTACTCTTGTTGCTGTCAGAGGGAATCTAGCTCTATCTTTTCGTCTTGAGATTCTGCAGATACGTTGTGATTGGGGGCAAGAGAGAGCAACTGGCTGGTTCTAGCAAGCGTGTCTCGGAGACGTCGTTGATGAGGATTCATCGAGCAGGAAGTTGAGCTTGTTTGCGAAGGTTCCGAACGACGTTGTTCTAACCCCACCTGAGAGGCCTCGCTATCTCCTGCCCGTAGTTTCTACTTCTTCACTAGAAAGTTGATCATAATCGGTAGCAACTGATCGTCTAAACCACGATCGTCATCGAGCGTCGTACCTCCTAAACGAAAGCAAGCGAGTAAACGACGTCTAATGATCGCATGGACGATTGCTTAAAGTTGACCCCTCGACGATCGCAACCTATTTTGTTAGAGGAGCATTCGGGGATTTTAATATTACTGGTGATATCTCTCAGGTTGTGCTAGGGTGATGGTGAAGTGCAAGAGGACCGAAACGTTCATGTTAAGGAATGAAAATGCATGTTAATTTGAGTCTCAGGACTTTTGCAGCAACTCAATAGAAGGCGTTGACAGGACCAGCCTCCATTTTTCTAGGTTTTTTATTTGGCAATTCGATTCGTACATTCAGGGGTAAAAGTTCATCCACCACACACAAGAATTATTCTATCGAAACATGCTAGAAAAGAAGAAATGGGGAGATATCGGCATTGTGATTGAAATAAAAAATAGGGATTTCAATCTAGCGCTCATATCGGGCGACGACCAGATGAGTAGCCTAAAGTACCTCCACAGTACCTGTCGAATTTAAGTCAACAAGACACTCAATCACTGGATGAATAACTCAATGCCTACGCGGAACAGTTTTTTTTCACGGTGAAATCTGCACGACGCTTCATTTCTCCTCTCGAACAAGATCGTCTTGTTTCTGATGCCTTTCGATACTCACGACGGACTAGCCAAGTAAATTCCATCGAAACAGGCACCCGCTTACTCTCGAAGACGAGCGACGGGATTCGTTCGTGCGCTAGCCATCCCACACATCCATCGTTCATTGGTCGCGTCTTCGTCGTTGCAGTCGTGTTGTTCATGTAGATCCCTCCACAAGCTTAGCTCTCGGGCATCGGTAGTGCGCTACTTGGCAGAACTTATTGCTTGTTTTCAAGACAAATAAGGCTCCTCCATCCCAAAACTAGATTGACATACCATTTTTCTTTCTGTTTTATTGTATTTTTTCATCACAATGTCGATAACTCCAAACTATTTCACACCCAATAAACGCAGTGATAGTGAAATTTGAAGACATCAATGATGACGAAAAGTAATAGACAGAGATAACAGCATCAGTTGTGAAATACTCACTTAACACAGGACTAAATTAAACTCGTGATAACAGAATATGTCTACCGAAATAGCACTACGTGGATTCCCCTAACAATATAGAGAAACAACTTAGCTCCAAAAATGAAGGGCGGCAGTCATAAAGGCAAAACGAAAAACAAAAAAAAATTGCACAGGATTCTGTCAAAAATTCGCGCGCAACGCAGTTCCCATCCAAAGGTATGCGGATCGTTTACGGCACCATTATCATATTGTACACTAAGATGTTGTCGGCTCGTCATTAGGCGGTCGACATTAGAACCTTGTCGGTGTCTCGATTGGTGCTGGCCGTTTCAGATGAGAAAGTGTTTGAGTCGGTCTGGAGGTCTAAAACTGGAACCGATGAAAAATGAGAACTGAAAGCGAATTCTGGCGGGAAATATAGTAAGTAATAAATATAGCCACAGTAGAACGCATGATTTTCTTTTCTGTTGAGCCACCTTGTTCTTGTCGTCGTATATTGCCACCGAGCTCAAAGATCGTTGTCGAGCGATGTCAATTGGTGTGAATGAGATGGATCCGGTAGAAAGCGCTTGCACGGAGTCTTCAGAACGAAACCGTCTAATAACCGTCGTACGGTGACGACGAACGCCTAAATGACAAATATTTATACTGATCGAGACTGAGTTCGGACGACGAACAATCGTTCTTCCCACACACACTGTCCAAAAACGTCCTAGAGTGCAAGGACAAAGTTGTTCGAGTTAATAGAAGAGGTGTGACTTAATCTGTGAAGTGGGCGGGGTCNGTTGTCGAGCGATGTCAATTGGTGTGAATGAGATGGATCCGGTAGAAAGCGCTTGCACGGAGTCTTCAGAACGAAACCGTCTAATAACCGTCGTACGGTGACGACGAACGCCTAAATGACAAATATTTATACTGATCGAGACTGAGTTCGGACGACGAACAATCGTTCTTCCCACACACACTGTCCAAAAACGTCCTAGAGTGCAAGGACAAAGTTGTTCGAGTTAATAGAAGAGGTGTGACTTAATCTGTGAAGTGGGCGGGGTCTGCGCTAAGGTGGGAGGGGCTAAGAGAGGAAATTCCGAATTCCGCCCAAAAACGTTCTAGAATGCAGAGAAAATGGCTAGGGCAGCTGAAATGATGATGGTCAAGCTTATAATAGTGGGAGGGGTTTGCACTGAGACGGGCGGGGCTACGATCAACCACTAATAATTCTTATCAAATGAAATATATCGAGCGGATGCTCTCAAGATGGTCCCAGTCTTCAAATCTAGACTCATTCTGATACATTATATATTCCGCTGAATGACTCCATCGTAGATGAGCGGCGTGGATGTGCAATGCACTCCTTAGCGTGCATAGCCCAGCTGGTCAGGTATATGCAAAGTCGACGTAGGGCGAAAGCCCAATTCTCGTCATCTTATTGTTAGATGGGGCACATGAAGAGCTAAAAAACTAGACACGTCTGTTGTAAATGTAGTCAGCTACATACTAACTGATGGTGCTCTGCGGCGGTTGAATCTGTCGAAAAAGAACCACCTATGTCGTTATACCTTCTTCAACATTAGCAGCAATCGATTTGAAGGCGCAGTTCACGGTAAAAATGTTCCTAGGATCACCGGATCGTTGTTGTCCACGTCCATCGACCCATGACATGTCAGAATAGTTATCAGGGCGATACAGGTCGCACCACTCGCGCCAGGACCCACACGCTCAGTATCGAATCAGCTGATCGCGAGTGGTGAGGGGATGTTCAAGGTGACGACGGTGGGAATCATCTTTCTTTCGGATCCTCTGGATGCTTAGTTAGATGCATCAGAATGTCCATAGTGCAGCAGGATAGTAAGAGGTTAATTCCGATTTATCAGCGCCTATTAAATAAGATGTACGCAATTGCAGACGTTGCGGACAGTTCGCCCAAACACCTCTTCCATGTCATTTTTCCATCGCAATCTCGTCTGCCCCTATTTTACTACTTTTCTGGACCCTTCTGACTGTAAATACACCGTTTTTCGCGCTTTCTTTGCAGAGATACAGGGTTTCTAGAAAAGGTCAGTAAAGTTAAGGAGTTGGATGAGAATAATACGAGGAAACTTGCACTGAAGGGGTATTTGCTAGCCGTACAAACGTGTCTGCCATCGTGTAGAGCTGGCCACAGTAAGGTGCCGCGTGCAACACATGCGCGTGATGCCAATGGTGCAATCTCTGCAGTCTTTACAACGAAAAGAACTGATACCTCGTCCGCCTCTGGGTATTTACGTCTTCTAAGTCGGTTTTGAAGCCCTTATTACGCCCTATTTAAGTCGTTTATCGAATCGCCAGGTTCCCTTCGTGATTCTTAGGGGTTATAAGTTTATCCTGACGATCAATGTCAGGAGCCATTTTTATCGAGAATTGTGCCTCCGAAAATAAACTGTATTTCGGAATTTACGGGTTTCTCGTTCATTTCGTTACCAATGAACAGTTCTGCATCAACATTAGTTTAGTCCGATAAAACTCCATAAAATCATCGCGAATAGTGCCCTCAATCCCACGCTCTGAGCGGTGCTGCTGGGTGTAGAGCGTTCTCATTTAGCCCAGTTCAGAGTTGCACCGTTGAGGATACCCCTACGAGTCATTTTGAACTTACTTATATGCTATGTCTAGCCATATCGTTTAGAGGGTGCTGGCCGAGGTCGTAATTCTTCTTTTAGTTTGTTTTGGATCACTATTCATTAATTTATTTGATTTTTCCCCGCTTATTCATCTTTGAGCGCAGTCCTTCTTGGAGTAGCAAGGATAGTATTTTGACTGCGAACGTGTCAAGCGCGGCATCTCGGCGAATACCAATTTATTCCCTGCATACTTTACAATCATTGTTGTAGACCTTGAGTAGGGAAACAATAGTATCAAATTTGTTGCAGTTTTAATGATTTTCCTGCGCGCTGCGTTATTTAGCCTTGACGCATTCATTTCTGACCTCAATATTTTACATCGTTCCATCGCTAAATATGCCTTCAAATGTAGTTGCATTATCGCTTGAGCTGGTGACTCCAACAACTCCTGCTAACAGTAATACTACTTACTCATAACAAGTATGAGATTAGGTAATCTTCCTGTACATGAATCACACATATTACCGACATCTGACACTTAAGTAACCGCTTCGTTAGAAGAAAGATATTGTAACAACACTGAGTCATTCAATGCTTGTGACATACTCGGACATTAATAAATGGGCATTTTGAGGTAGTGCAGCTCATTCTGATACCGGTAATAGTGCTATACATTGCATTAGTTATAATGGTTCGCGGTGAAAACTTAGTTCCTAATAAGTGAAGCAGACTTTGTTAGATGATCATTCACTGGAATAAGTGCATTTTCGCCTTTGGCTTGGCTATGGAGTCTGCAACGCCTCTCGTAAGGATGACGGGTGATAGTTTGCCCCAGAGTCCTGGGACACTCGTGAAAAGGACAAAATTTGTACAAAAACAACAAAACAACGGCAAAAATCACTTTATAATATTGCTCATTACTTTGACAAACTTTGCTTCTGGCTCCCTCCTATTTGGTGGAGGATGCGTGTTTGGATATTTCGAAGCAATCAGCCCGCTAAATTACGGTTTGCCTCCGCGATCCAATACGTGAACTTCAGAGCGGTCAGAGGGAACGGTGTACTGCTTGTCGCCCTGTTCTTTCCGATTTGTTGAGCACTGCTTGTCGCTTCTGTTCCTTTCACTTTGTTAACTCGATAGCTCCTCGGCAGGCATCCTTTTGAAGCAAATTCGAACCACTGTTCAAGTTCGGATCGTCCCTTCACAGAGCGTTTAGGGCCCAAACTATTCAATTGTTAAGCTCAAAAGTATGTTGGGAGTGTCATTTGTTCGTTTCTATGTTGAATATGTGATAAAAGATGTGAAAAGCGCGCCAATTCATCAGTGTCCCAGGACTTTTGGACACTCTCGTGTGAAGGCTCAAAGAACCACGAAATTCTTCCTGTAAACTGTGCACCAACCACTATCTTCGTCGCTATCTGAAAGATCATCGTTGGACTCGCTTTTGCTACGAACCGACGATGACGGACGATCGGTGGATAGTCCTGGAGGCTCTGATCGAGAGGGTGACACTCGAGGCGCTGGTGGAGAGGGAGTCACTTTGAGGTCCGAACCGGAACTGATCTAAAAGGAGTAAGGATAAAAAGGGTTTTAGGATAGTCTGGTCACAGAAGTATTTCAAAATGGAAAGAAAACCTTCAACGGCGGCTCCGATTTGGCCAGCTTTCTTGGAAGTGTCTCTAGATGAATATCGTGAATGGGAGGAGGCGGTGACTGAGGGACAGCAGGACATCGCTGAAAACTCATTTGCAAAAGAATTTCTAGTAAAAAGGCAATTATTGCTGAACTTACCTTCTCATTCCCTTTCCTCTCAGATTCCTTTTCGGCTGTAGGACACGGACATGCCGTCTTCGAGTCCCATTTCATGAAACCGTTGGATGCTGGTGGTGAACCGAATAAGTTCAATGTTCCCTGGGATGCAAGCGAAGTGGCAAAAGATTTTTGTGACGTGGATGGATCGATAGATATGGTCTCCTGTAAATATTAAGCATCCCTGTTTTATTGCCTTATGTTTAAGTTTAATGGCGAGTTACATTTTAATGAAATTCCAAACCTGCCAGTCTCTCAGTCGGCCAGTTCGCCAGCCATAGCTGTCCACGATTGGTTGGAAACTTGAACGAACAGTTGGACCTCGTGATGCCGGATCAATATACTGGAATCGATACAACACTTTTTGGGAGCAGTAACCACGGGTAAAGAGACGCCACTCGCGCGCCCGCGGTCGCCCAAATTTGACAGGATGGATGCGATGAAGTATTCTGACCTAATAGCGCGCATAGCATTTTTACTTCCCTTACCATATAGGTGTTCTCTCGCTTTGGTTGGGTTCTGTTTGAAGGTGTCGGTGGTGGGGAGTCCATGAACTGTGCCGTAGTGTACTCTTGGTGCCATGCGGAGCCGTCGAATAGTGAGGATATAGTCTGGAAGTACGAGCAATCAATTACATAGCGTTTTCTGCAGTAATTTACAAGACCAAGAAGGGCTTTTATTGTCAAAACATCAAAGCTGAAGAGTTGTTAAATTTTCTGGCAAAATCAAACTCGCACATTTTGCTAAGGATTCCAGGGATATCGGTTCCAGGGATGTTCGCATACTAGTGACTATGACTCAGCTTTCGATACAACGTTGACCTCTCTTAAATGACGATGAGAGGGCTCATTTCCATAGTTCATAGTGAGGTCACCCCTATTGTACAAGCTCCGACTTAGCCATACTTGCGATGTGCGCTACGCATTGTCATGTTGTTAGTAGACTTTTGAAGAGTTCCCTTTTCACTGACGCGACTCGCTTCCGATCCCGTACGTGTTATGTGTAGAATGGCAGTTACTGTAGCTTCCTCATCTAGCAGTAGCCAATGTACTGCCCCACAAACATCTCGCCGAATGACCTTCATATGATGAACATCTCTAAAAATCTCCTTCAGCATTTTTCCTGGATCAACTTCTAGGGCATTCCCGTGCGCTCATCGCCCTTTCAGCGATAAGCTGTTCCAGCCATGTATTTTCAAATTCAAAATCACGCAGGTGTCCACCTAGCGGTCACGATCGACATGCTTGAGGTGGTACGGTACATATCGGCTCAGCTTCTTACATTCACAGTTCCTTCGAATAACTTCCAATAGTGGAACTGTGAGCTCCATAGGCGTTCGTCATTCACCTCCTAGTTTTGTTAGGTTCCTTTTTCACTAGATGCCGTAGCTCTCTCAAGGTAAATTCAGATAAGTGTCTCAAACTTTCCTAATCTTTATGCGTG